TTGCAGGTCAGCAGGTCGGGCCGGGAGTGTGACGTGACGGAGCAGATCGGGACTTTAAGGATATTCATATATATATGTTTTGGACTGTATAACTATACTTTACGCTTCCGCTTACGTTTTGATGATCTTTCGACGATGTTTTGATGATTTTGACGAACTTATTATATTTTGACGAACTTTTCAGAAAACACAGTTTTTCAGTAAACCGGACGTTTTTAATAAGTTAAAACAACGGTTTTCTAAAGTTAAGTAACGATTTTCACGGTAGCACCCCAAATCAGTTTCGCAAAGTAAAAATGTTTTAGTTTTCAAAGACTTTGCGAATAAATGCGCAACTCTGATTTATTTAGTAAGGTGGGGTGTTACAAGGCGTCCAAGGCGGCGCGCGATATGGCGGTTAGGGTTGAGGGGCGGCCGAATGGTGTGGAGTGCAAGGCAAGGAATTGGATAGCAAGTCAAGTCATTAGGAGATCTAGTAGATCTAGGAATTTATGGTAGTAGGATATTTACTTGCCTTAGGATTTAATATTTAATTGTTTTATTAGTTTCCTAGTAAGATTAGCATTAGAGATAGTTGGTACCTATAAATATCCCATGTACCTCATCATTATTTTATGTCTGGAATTGAGTATTGAATTGGTGAGCCAATCTTGAGGGGGAACTGTTGTTCTTAACGTGTGTTTAAACAAGGCCGTTAGTGCGTGTTTACATACAGAGTCGGAAAGAAGGCCGTTAGTGCGTCTTGAAGTCACGGTGTCTAGGAGAAGGCCGCAGTGCGTCTGTTAGACACGTCTATCGTGGATAAACGAAGGCCCAGAGCGCGTTTATTCACAACAATCGTATAGACAGAAGATCGATCCGTCATCAACTGGGCGCGCGGGCTATGCTGCTCGCGCGTGCTGGGATGACTTGGCACTCGACCGTGCTGCTGGGCACTGGCCGAGGCCTACTGGGCATGCTGGCGCGCTGCTGGGCGCGCTAGCGTGCGCTGGGGCTGGCCAGCGTGCGCGGGGCGCTGCTGGCGGGCGGTGCTGGGGTGCTGTGATAC